TAAAGTGTTAAGGTGACTGTAGCTGACCGCTACGCTGACAATTTGTATAGAACATCTCATGACAGATCTGACTTATAACGTGGAAATGTTTTTTGTTTTTAAGCATATCTTGCAAAATCCACTTTACATACTCGCTATTTAAATTTTGTCTTTGCGATTAGATTAGACTCCAATATTAAATTTATATAAACCTATAGAAATAAGTTAAATTAAATAAATCGAGCATATTTTATATATTTTACCAGTTAATTAAATAAATTACACAATAATTAAAAAAATTGCGTTGAGATAATATGATAGAAATGAGGTACTCAGTACCTACTGACAAGAAAAAAAATTATACTGTATTTTAAATGCTATTTTATTTTAATCATAAATAAAATATCATAAAAGAAATATAATCATAATCTTAAATGTCTAGGTATTTAAGCAGGTTGATTGATTGTGGGTTCCCAAGTTTAGAAAAAAAATAAAAAAAATAAGCCTTTCAAAATCGTGCCAGGCAATAAAAAAACCTAAAGTAATCTTAAGATGGGTTTCATTTTAACAGTAATTAATTATGTCAATCGAATGTCTTCGAGTTCCCGTCGAGTTAGAAGCCGGTTAAGTTGGGCTTTGGTCATTATTATAAATTGTATCTGCTGACCGCCTCTTGACGTAGCTTTTGATATTTTTATTAAGCTTCATCACCTTTTCGAGAAGTTTTGTTAGTTGTAGGTATTTTGTTTTACTTTTTTGGTTTATTTTACAACTGCAGCACGCCCTGGTTTTACCTAAATGTTTGAAAAATTGTATTTGAACTGTTGATTGTGAAAAGATTTTAATAGAAGAAGAAGGCACAAAAACACCTTCATAAATATAATTTTTAAGTAAAATATTTGCTGGATAACCTACAGATTGAAAATAATAGTATTCTGAGAAGACGTACGTCCTAGAAGATGTAGGAATGGGCGTAGGGGGATAAGACGGGGAGAACAGTAGCGACTAAGCACAACTTTTCAAGGTCAGGAGGTGAAACCGTCTTTTAGTACGCTTTGATCAAGATTCGTTAATCTCGATAAAAAAGTTTTGTTTAAAATATAATAATTTGAAAAAAAAAAAATATTTAGTGATAGTAAAGTATAAGGCAGTTTTAGCATAGTGGCAACGCGCTCGCTTGGGAAACCGAGTGAAGCAAGTTCAAATCCCGGGTCTCACACCTATGATATTTTCATGTGCGAATCATTTCCAACATGATTACCATTTGTCTTAACGGCGAAGAAAAACATCGTGATTAAACCTACATGTATGAGAGAACCTAGCAAGATTTTAAAAGACATGTGAAGTCCGCCAACCCGCACTTGGCCAGCGTGGTGGACAATGGCCTGATTCCCCTCGTACTGAAGGGAGGCCCGTGCCCAGCAGTGGGACGTTTAAAAAGGGCTGAATACATATATACATACGTACATAGTTTTATCAAAAGTACTTTACGTTGAGGTCGTTATTTATTTCTTTTTCTTATGTTATTATTATTATCCATAATGATAAAAAATGTTGTAAAAATATTGCAATATTTTTTCCAATTTTTGGTAGTAGCGAATAAAAATAAAAATTAATAACAGGTGCGAGTCTGTAACACAAAATTTGTTATGTTTTAAGTTAAGTAATTTGTTAGATTAAAGTGTTAGCGGCTTCATTTTTACAACTTTAGAAACAAGTACCTAGTGTAGTGCCGCTAATGACATATGTAAAGAAATCGGTGTAGGAACATCCATCTCATTTCTCATACCTATTTGGGACTACATCCCACAAGCATAAATATATTCAATATATAATTTGATATAACTGTGACCGAGAGACAACGGATAGATGGACATAACGAAGTTATTGGTAATAAATAATAAAAATATTTTTTGTGATAATATATATTTTCATAAGCCTGAAAGTGATATATATGTAAATATATAATACGTGGGCGACCGATATTCGCTCGGTAATGTAAGAATTGCGTTTTATTAGAAAAACCACCTATATGACAGCCTATAGATAAACTTAAAAAGCAAAATCTTATCTATTTACAAAATTTGATCCAAATCGTTATAGCCATTTCTGAGTTACACGAAAGAAATATATAGATAGAAGAATTGATAATCTAATATTATATTATTCTAGTAAAATACAAGTACGATAAATAAATATACCGGCAGAAATAGCAACATTATTTTCTACTGTTTAGAAATAAACTTTACTCAGTATCTAACAATTTCCGATGTAATATGTACCTATATGTAGTGTCTTTCTATAAAGTCGCCTGTAGAGTGAAAGTTTGTACTAAAGTAATATTGAAAAAGTATTTTATGGTGTAATTGCGATTTAATTTACGATTGCAAGAAGCCATGAAGTGAATGTTGCTAATCGATTAAGATTCTTGACTATGAAGCGGGTCAGCTATGCAAATAATTTTAACGTAACTGCCTATCGTTCTTTAACTACGTGTTTAAACTACGTTTTTACTAAAACTTAGTAAAAGCTGTAAAACTCTACAGCAAATATTAAACAAACATACTTATGATATGATCATCAATAATTTTGACATTACGTAAGCTAAGCTAGTTAAATAACTTTAGATAAAAACATTGTATAATCTATCTTTTTTTAATAAAAAAAATAGGTTATAGTGATGGAACTACAGCAATAGACTAGAACTGTGTAATATATGAAGATAAATTGGCGTACGCTAACATTGGTCGTTGGCGTTTTTGACCAATATATATTTATATCTACATAGTTACTCTTAGGCCATAAAGTATTTTTAACCAAAATGACGTTTTTTTTCTCGGTCAAAAGTCATCCTTGGGGTGATGGTGTCTACCCAAAAATTACAATAATGTGAAAGAAAAAAGCAATACATAATTCTAATTTAGGTTGCTTAAATTATAAAATTTGAAATTACTTAATTTGGTCACTATTATTATGATTTGAAAGTTTTCGTTTAATATAATACGTAATTAAATGCGCAGAGGCAACGAAAGTTTGGATAAACTTATTGTGGTTGGAAATCTCGAAGGCAAAAGATCGCGTGGTCGTGCTTCAACAAGATGGACCGACCAAATTAAAGACTCATCATCGAAATTCTACACGGTGATAAGAGAGGCGCTGGACAGAAACCGGTGGAGGCAGATCATCCGCTCCAGATCCAACCCTGACCACAATCCTCAGACATGAGTGACCGACCCCAGAGAGTGACCAAAACTTTTTACTCACGTTTATAGCTTTACGATAGAAACAATTACGTAAAAATCAATCAAAAAACGATCCTTCTATAAATAAATCGTTGTGAGGACACCCCATTATAATTATTGCTTATTATAATTCATATCACGTTTCAAAATATAATATTGTAACTGTGTTAATATTCAAGCAAGTCATCGACTGACAATCGTCGATGTTCAAGCTAGTCGTGTTAATCCTTTAACGGTCTTATTTACACGAGCGACAGAGATGTCAACTTGATCTGATCATAAGGCAAATTAAATAAGATACAAATATTTAGATGACACTGTTATTTGACTCATTTTTTCAATGTTATTGAATTATTCATTTTTTTTAAGTTACGGAATATAATTATTTATTAAATATCTAGCTTTGAGTTTTCCAAGTTTTTTTTTTAATCTAAACCATTGTTGTTAATCATTGTCTCCATATAATGAGTTTGATATTGCGCTCAAACTTCACTACACTATAATCAACATAACCAAAATTATGTAGATATATTACTACTATATATACTTATATATATACATATACATATACATGTATACATATATATATATATACTCATTATTGTTAAATATAAAATTCTTATGTACCTACCAACGTAAAAACATAAATGACTGACCCCCAAATCTTATATAAATGTTTACTTACTAGCTATACCATAAAGTTGTCAAAAAATTGCTATTTTTACATGGTAAAGTTGCAAGTTTGTTATGGCGGTTGCAAAATATGCCCTTCCTTTAAAGTACTGTTACGTAGCATGAGAGTGGAAAGTAAAAAAAGTAATCTGTTCATTTAAGATAGTTTTATTAAAATTATAGAAATTTTATAGAAATGTAAAGTAGGTGTTTTTTTTTGCAATACTATTGGCTGAATATACAGTTTTTTGAATTTTTGTCTGTCTGTCTGTACCCATCACCAGAAAACCACTAGACAGATTTTGATGGAATTTAGTATGATCATAGCTGGTTATCCGGGTCATATAGGATACTTTTTATTGCTGGAAAACATCTTATCTCTGAGAAATCTATACTAACCGTTAAAACGTATATATCCGCTAGGGAAGAACCCGAGCGGAGCGAGGATAAGTCGCTAGTAATATATAAGCCTTGTTATATTTAGCCTATTTTTATATAAATCTAGTAACATATGTTTAAAAAAAATTGAAAAATTATTGACTTCATCCTCATATTTGGCATCTTCATCATATTTGGCAGCAAGGAAATAAAGGGTAAATCACATAAAATCATCTTATATGTGTATAATAAATATTTATTACATATATACCTTATATTTTATATCTTATACTTAAATATACATTTGTTAATTATATATACCAAAAATATACCTAACTAATTAATTGTAATAAAAACAATGTTATAAATAAGCTTTAAATATAATATACTAAAGCAATTTTAATTTTAATTAATAATAAACAAATAAAAACGCTCATACATTTATTTAAGATAATTTATGAGTAATAATAAAAAAATTATACCTGTAAATTACAATTTATGTACTTTAATCTGTAATAAATTCCACGTACATATAAAGCAATGCAAGCAAGTTTTTAGGTGTTTAACGAAACATGAAGGGGTAAAAACAGCTCTTGATTCCGTCTCTACCTATCTCAAGTCTCTTAATCCATTGTTATTTATCCTTGTTGTCCAATCTGATGTAGAAGTTCAAGGTCAGTGCTGAAAGAATTGCATCTGATCCCAGATCTGCCCTTTGCGCTTTTATCAATACGCCGCGCTCGCAACGCCGTCTGCCGGCCGCGGGCAGTAGCGCCCCGGCCTCCAGTGCGCACGCTCAGTACCACCTGACATTGCCGCATATAATGTCTGTACTCTATCATCCCCCCATTCAAACCTTTAAAAATAATTGAATTTCATAACTTCAATCGTAATCCACAGCATTTTTCCTAAGAAACATACGCGCGAAATCTAATAAGTCTTAACTGACGGTGCCCTCGCGAGTTCGTTTCGGACTTATGTTTATTATTGTGCCTTCGTGGATACTATTTTCATCCCAAAAGTGTCGTTTACACTGAAGCTTTCAGACGGTGAGTGTTTGTTTGAGGTTATAAGGTTTGTTTATACACTTGGATATCTGCGAAGTGTTAGAAGTGGGCGAATGTGAGTTCTTACTTTCGCTGAGCGCTTCGGAATGAGGTTACTCTCTAAAATAAACCCGCGATTTTTACCGCGTCGCTCTGCAATATGATACATATGTTCACATCTGCGCATGCCGAGTTTAATATTAAAGGGAATGCAACTACTGCAGGCGCGTTGTTGTACTTGTACGCGACCTGTATTTCATATTGTTAATATTACAACAAAGATTTGCTTATATTTTCAAGTTGTTATATTATTTAAGAGATTCAAAAATTATTATTAGATTTTTGTGCGGCGCCTTTGTGTAAAATAATAGCAGTTAATTTGTAGTTATAATGATATAAGAAGATAACTAATATATGATCGACGGCTTTCCGTTTCATGGTCAATAAATAACTATTTATTATAAACAGAAAAGGTTTTAAAGGTTTTAAGTTTAAGTCCTTTAAAATTTAGTATTTTAAATAAAAACTTACGTCGCTTCTTATAATGAATACGTTCTAACTATTAGGTTAGAACAGTAAATAATTAAGAATGACGCAAATATAAATGAAATGTTAGAGAAACTGATGCATGACTCACAATTTTGCATAAGTTTTGTATAGTTTGCAATTGTAGAACAATCTTAAAAGAAATATTTTCATTTTTCTATAATAAAGCAAAATTTCAATAATAAAGCTTACTTCAATAGGATTTCGGGAAAAGCTTCCTAGTACATAGTTTTTTTTAAACCTTAAAACTTCCTTATCCGAACTCTATCTACCTCTTAAATAAATTTTGTGTATCGGAACCAAAATTGGAAATTATAAATATTTTTTTATTAAACAGAAGAGGTCGAAATAAAAATAAATGAAACCACAGATTATAGGAAAATATTTGACGTTAAAACATTAGATACATGAAAAAAAATTTACTTTGCATTGACTTACATATCTGTTCAAGTATTGATCGTTTTACGTTATATAATTTGAATATTTTTTTAGGTTTACAATTACTAAATTGCATAAATATTTAAAATGTACCTACTTAAAAAAATATTTACTAAATATTCCAAAAATTGTGGCTTAAATATTGATTCCTAGGACCAAAAAGAAAAGTAAATGCTAGTCCTATAATCAAAGCTTTAAAATAAACTTTTATGTGCTCTACAAATGCCTCGACTTATTGCGAGGGTTTAATTGTTATAACTATATGACTTCTCGTAGTCCTGAAAAGAAGAGTCCTTTGAGCATTGTAAGCACAGGCTTGATACAACACCGTCGTTGTTTTCAGCTATGCTGTTTCATAAGATATACTTATTGTAGACCATATAACACTTAGCCGAATATTTGATATTTTAAATAAAACTCTTAAATAAGGCATTCGAAACGTCGGGAGCCAAAAATCAAAATGAATCCGCGAAAAAAATCCGAAAAGATAGTTTTATTTAAAATGTATACTTATATATTAGATGATAATTTCAGTCTATACAACAGTTTTATCATGTTTGCGTCCAAACTTTAACAAATATTTTATAATACTCAATTTGATCCGTGGCTGTACTCGCGTTATATCCACGTTGATAGATAGAAGTCTAAGAGTTGATTTAAATTATAAGTTATCTTCATGACCAATTTGATTAAAATCTCTTTTTAATCATAGAATTTATCAAAAGCTCGTCGGTGGTACAGTTATTTTGCTAAGTAATAACGATTATCATATATTTTGGTTGATTTACTTTAACGGTAAAAATATGTCATTTAACAGAATTATGCTATCTAATAAACAAATCTTGCATTATTTTTATTATGAAGCTAAAATATAAGCTTTACAGATTATGATGTTGATTAATAACATAGACAAATATGTACTTAACATTTAGAAAGAAAAAAATATCGTCAAGCTTTGTCTTTAAAATAAAAATTTTTTAATAAAAAAATAAAAACCGACTTCAAACAAAAGCACTAAAAAGTAAAAAATAACTGATTGGTAGTTTTCATTTACTATACATACCTAATCAAATATTTTCGAAGTCGGTGTGCTATGCTTTGTATGGGCTGGCACCGATTTCGAAAATATTTGATTAGGTATGTATTTAATAGGTAGGCTTTAATTACTTAGCCAAAGCACACCGACTTCGAAAATATTTGATTAGGTATGTATAGTAAATGAAAACTACCAATCAGTTATTTTTTACTTTTTAGTGCTTTTGTTTGAAGTCGGTTTTTATTTTTTTATTAAAAAGTTTTTATTTTTCCCTTTTTAGTGTAGACAGTAGTAGCAAAGTAAGAATTCTAACGTGTTAGGCTTGTCAAATCAAACAAAATAAGCCCAAACTCAAAGTATCTACTATTAGCCGTTGAAGAGTTCCACCTATCTACCTTCTGGCCTTACCATCAGATCAAGTCAACAATACCGAACCACTGTACTATCAACAGAAATAGAAACACTTGCAAAGTTTCAAGTCAATATGACAATTAGAAGTAGGTTAAACCCATCATTAGCTATTTTTCCACCCTTAGGGGTGGTATTTTTTTTTTGAAATTTAAATGGGACCAATCTGGAAGTATATCCTTTCAAACAAAACAAAAATTGTCCAAATCGGTTAATAAATGACGAAGTTCTGAGGTAACAAACATAAAAAAAAAAACAAAAAAAAAATACAGTCGAATTGAGAACCTCCTCCTTTTTGAAGTCGGTTGATAACTATTATACAAATAATATATAATCTTTTCGCACGAAACTTTTCAGATAATTATGATAAAACACTAAACGTAAGTTTATTTAATCGTCATAAAAGAAAAAGTATAAAAAATAAGTCTGTTTGACTGTTTGTTTGCATATCCGTTTTCTTTTCACGCAAAAATACTCATCGGGTATACATAAAGGAGAAAACTAGTTCCCATAGAAACTGAACTAAAAAACGGGTTGAAAATTAGCTATAAATTAATAGGTAGGTAGATATAGAAATTATTCAATTATTATTATTTAATTAATTATGTAATTTTTAGGTTATATTTTTGGGTTCGTCTCTAGTTATGTTTTGACGTTTAGTATATTATATAGATTTCACAGAGATGAGATATTTTCCCACAATAAAAAGTATTCTATATGTACACTCGAATAACCAGCTATCAACAAACCAAATTTTATAAATATCTGTCCAGTGGCTTTCTCGTGATACGTTCCCTGAGAGACAGACAGACAGAACAAAATTCTAAAAACTATATATTCAGCCTCTGTATCGATAATAATAACTATTTGAATAAGATTTTCCAAAAAATACTTGTTGTACCTACAGATTCGACTCAGAATTTTATTATATGTATAGATTATTTTTAAAGAATGTCATACCAAGGGTTACCCCATTGAGTAATTACAAATATGCGGACGTACAATCACTTGCATAACCCAATATTTACCATCCTTTATACTACAGCATATTACGTTGTACGCGTATTATACTTATTTCCTTTGTATCCGGTCCCTGTCTTAAAGAACGTGAGAATATAGGCCAAGTTCAGGGTCGATCCAATGAGCTGTGTACGGTCCTTGTAAGAACTTGTTAAAAGCAGGATTCTCTGTAAAATATACCAAATAGTATTCGTTTAAGTATTACTAATAAGTTTGATGAAAAGCTCAAATAAGGTTTTTGATCGTTTAATACCAAAATGTTCTGTTTTGTGACCAATCACGTTAATAAGAAAAAAGAACGAAAGGAATGGCCCGGCTATTATACAACAATTTTATTTATAGCACCGATATAATAAAAAATATATAAAAAAACATGTGTGTGTACTATTTAAAGAAGTTATACTTCTTTGGCGTAGCAGAATAATAATAGCTAAAGATTTCATCCCGTACGTCTCAACTGTCTGTTTGTAAAAGGGATTGCAGCTAACTTCATCATGTCGCTTTTTGGCTGTCGGTGTGCGCGCGCATCGTAAAAATTTTACTCTCATATTTTTTTCCAAACGTGCCAAAAGAAGTATAACTTCAAAAGATTTGATGATGTTATACTGATGACTTACCAGTGAAATGGTCAAAGTGTCAGCAAGATTTTCTGCATACAGATAGTTTACGATCCACAAGATACTATAGAATACTCTACTTTCAGACTTCAGTATATCCAGAAATTCCCGTGGGATATTAGGTATTTTACTTAACGAATCGAGAACTACAAATCTTTATTCACAATCAAGTTTTCGTCACTCAATGCCTAGGTCTTTCAGTTCCAGTTGAGAAAGTTGTCTAGCCTGTGAAAGGAAACGCCGATGTAGTTGTAAATGGAGAAATCTTTTTATTACTGTTGTCATTATCAGATAAATGAACACAGAATGTCTTGCTGCTCTACCTTAGTACTGTTTATGAAATATAACAGATAGAGTTATTATAATCATAGGGTGTGTTTTTGTATCTCGATGCCAGATCAATAATTACTGTGACACATTAGTACATCTGAAAACCAACTAGGTATTTTAGTGCTTGGAAAAAGCTTTTGAAATTTCTAATCTGGCAGATATACCGCCAAGCTTTTATGTTTTCGCTGAATAATAATTAAATTGTTTTTATAGATTAATCACTGTTTGTATCTACAATTTAATTACATATCTATACATATAATAAAATTGTATCTAAGCCGAATCTGTATATTAGATTTTTTTTGGAAAATCTTATTGAAATAGATTTTATTATCGATATAGAGGCCGAATCTATAGTTTTTAGAATTTTTGTCTGTCTGTCAGTCTGTCTGTTACCGCATCACAGAAAAAACAATCGAGTGATTTTGATGAAATTTAGTATGGTGATAGCCGGATATTCGGGTCAACATATAGGATACTTTTTACCGCGGGAAAATATCTCATTTCTGAGAAAAAATACAAAAACTACATTGTAAGAGTATACTAATATGTAAAACCTAAGAATTTGGTTTTTAGTCATCTGAACCCGTGCGGAGCCGCGGGCAATGCTAATTGTTATACAATAGAAGCATCGTTCATAAGCTTTCGAAAGTGAATCAGAGCATTATTTAAAGTTGGATTTGGAGATTTTTCGGCAAAAATATAGGCCTTGTCATCAATGATGATAATTAGGTCTGAAATCAAGGCAATTATGACAAAAGTATTTATATCGTAAATCTTTAGTCTCCAAAGTCGGTTTAAACATTAAATTATATTTGCGATATAACTAATTAGTCTTCGAATGGTTAAGCTAATTTTCAGAGAAAATTGTAAGCTGATTGAGCGCTTCGGAATCTGTATTGAATTCTGCACAATTTAAGATACTATGTAGGTAATAACAATATACATGAAAACATATAATTACATAACAATAAAATTTAGTAATACCGAAGTAGTAAAAAATGGAAGCGGCAAGTATGGAGATCAAAAATAATTCCATGTTTGATGTTTTGTCAAATAAACGATATTTATTTTATACAACAATTTCTTTGATGTTAAACAAATGTGGTCGTATATTGTTATTTGTTGCCAACTTCGCAATATTTGTTGCTTATTCAAGGCGAATATACGACAAATTATTATATTATATTGTTCACAATGAGAAACCTCATACAAAAGCCTCAAAATTACCGATAACTTAAAATACATTTCTGTTTTCTAAGCGACAGGTGTTTTATTATTGTATAATACTTTCGTAACATGTTCGTTGCTTAATAATGCAATAGCACGAGTGTTATTTCGGTGTCATAAAGTGTTGTAAAATGCAGTACTAGCTCATGTACTAATCAAATATGTATACCTATATTGCTGGGTTTTACTAAATTTCAAATTGTGTATCAGTTTTAAACACTTTTACAAAATTTTACACAAGTGTAATTTGACTTTTACACTTTTACTTTTAATTCGAAAAATTTGTTTAGATGCATTTTTTTTTGAAATTCATAGTTTCTGCGACAGCTCAGAAATTATGTAATAAAAGTTAGAAAAATCAATTACCAACTATTTATCCGACTGCGGCGGAGCCCAAAGGAGGGCTGGGCTATGTTTTTGAGTTTAAACTTTTTACGTATGTAGGTACGTACATACGTCTCCGACTGCATAATACTATGTTTCTTCTTCAACTTGTTCCTATCTTTTTAGTGTGCTTTTTAGTTTTTAAACGGTGTTTTTTTTTATATTTTTTTTTATATATTAGGGCATCATAATCTGTGTAGTCAATATCACAATTATTTTACGATAGTATGTGCAGAATGGCTTTTTTTTTAAATAATATAGTATTATATCCTATTTAATTGTATATCCTTCTTATTATTTATTGGGTAATTTAATATTTTTCATTTCCAATTTAAATTTAGCACCTCTAGTAATTGCCTCATTTACAGCTCTTATAAGATTTGTGGAGACAAGCAATGAAGCAGAAACTTGATTGATCAATCGACTTCATAAGTAGGTATATAGCAAAATTGAGTCCATCCCTTTAATTAATTTAGTGGCAAATAAGCTACCATCAATCTCCTGTAAGCTTGATTGGATTTGAACTTTCGAGAGGTCAAGGTTCGAACAATATAATGTTATATATCATAAAGTTTAGAAGGCACGTGTTTATTGCTTTATTAATTAGTCTCTTACAGTAAATTGGATGATGAAAGGACAGGCACGTTGGAGTCTTTGATGGATAAAGTTTTACAATATTATCATTGTGTAAACTTTTGGTTATGTTGTTATTGTATATATTAGTTTCTAATTACATTATATCGTTTGGAAATTTTAAATATTTTTGTTTTATATTTTGAATTGCTTAATAAGTATTATGCAAAATTTTTAAGTCCTAAAAGTAAATTAAATTCAGTAAATTGATTAGATAATAGATATCTTATAGTAATCTTTACATATAATAAAATTGTAACTAAGGCGAATCTGTACATTAAATATTTTTTGGAAAATCTTATTGAATTGGCATTATTATCGATACAGAGGCCGAATCTATAGTTTTTAGAATTTTTGTTTGTCTGTCTGTTTGTTTTCGCATCACGGAAAAACCACTGGAGGGATTTTGATGAGATTTGGTATGATGGTAGCTGTTTATCCGGGTCAACACATAGGATACTTTTTATCGCGGGAAAATATGAGATTTCTGAGAAAAAATACAAAAACTGCAATGTTAGAGTATACTAATATGTAAAACCTAAAAAATTGGTTTTTGGTCATCTGAACGCGTGCGGAGCCGCGGGCAATGCTAGTCAAATAATATGTACGGCTCAGGTGACATTTAGACGAATAGGCTGTTGTTAGCAGAGCCAACGACCGGATACTAATGTATTCATTTCACACTCAACACTATTGTGAGACAATATACTAACTAAAAACTGGCAAAAAATACACTAAGAGCTGTCCTCTAACGTACTGCCAAGGTTAGGTTTTGTTATTAACACAATCAAATACAATGCGAATACGTCAACGAAATTACATATGCGAACTATAATTGATGTTGTCAGCAGAAAAGTTGCTTAACTTTAGGATGATGAGTAACTGGAAAAAAATATATTTTAATATACAAAACTTATTATCCACTATACTGAGATAAATGATGTAAAAATACAGGTGATAAAATGCAAAACAGTAAGTTAAAAATTAAAGTTTACAGTTAGTTTAAGTGACTTATATATTCAATCAGGTTATAATTTGTTTGATAGGCATTTTGATCTGATGATGGAATGAGTATGATTCTTTTTTTTAAAATTAAGAAACTACGATTTTGATCAACTGTTATGTAAGGACCTCCGTAAAATGAATCGAATTAACCCATATATCAAAATAATAGCTTTTTACTAAATGCATATGGATGTACACACGATGCATATACGAAAACAATTTTTTTTACAATTTTTGTCTGTCTGTCTGTTTGTTCCGGCTAATCTCTGAAATGGATAAACCGATTTTGACGGGACTTTCACTGGCAGATAGTTGATGTAATAAGGAGTAACTTAGGCTACTTTTATTGTAGAAAAAAAATAGGGTCCCCACGAAAAAAAATTAAAACCAATGAAAATTTTAATAATATCCGATTCAAATAGGGAAGTTGTATGGACGAACCCGAGCGAAGCGATGGTGAGTCGCTAGTTATTTTAATAATAAACATTAATTGTAGAAATATCATGTAGTATCTAGAAATTTTAATCAAAACCTTAAAACTGTTTCCATGTTATGTTTATCTTAAACAAACAAACAGACTCACAAAATAAATTGCATGAATTTTCTATAAAAAGTCTCATAAATTGTGTAAGTTAACAGAAAATATGAGTGTAAATATATCTATTTGAACTGCAATTATTAATATATGTTCATAAATCAAAGGAGATTGCTATAATTTAAGTCATTATTCAAGAGCAGAAGTCCATTAGTATGAAAAGTAAGCTAGCTTTTGTTGTTCACAATAAGGCTTCTAGAAAAAAGTAGAAATTTTTTATCTTAAGTTCTTGCATTAACATTTTTCAATAAATAGGTATTAGGTACTATATTTTTGTATAATAAATGATATTGTATGATATTGAAAAGAAAAATAGGGATTTTAAGGATTTATACATATATATTTATAAACAGCTCGGTTTAAAGTTACCTTGAAATTTGCTTAACTCATTATGATAAAATTAATTCAACTCCTCTTTGCCAATTCCATATAGTTCCGAATTTCACCATATTATTATAACACCATAATTCCACAGTCTTACAAAGATACTATTTTTATATTTTATTCCATATAACATAAAATAATTTTTAAACCATATGAAACTATTTCTTTATCCGTCTACTCTGTCGTCGTCCATGGTTTGGTTCCTCATACAAACTTTCATCCCCATTTTCACACCCTTAAGGGATGATTTCCGGGATAAAAAGTATCCTATGTCCTTTCCAGGGTCTCAAACAATTTTCTCACTAAATTTCATCTAAATCAGTTCAGTAGATCCAGAGATTACCTATACCTACCTACAACTTCACAACTCACAAACTCACAGTTCACAAACTTTACTTTTTTATAATATTAGTATAGACTTTATTCAAGCGTTATCTAAAGTTACACTACAGGCTACTTATTTGATATTTCTTTAAGACGAGTGTCCATTGACTGTAAGAGGCTATACAAGACAATTCGAGCGGGACATTGAATTATTTGACATGAATGAACGCTTCGTATTATATTATTATATAATATAAGTGATATTTAGAATCGGTTATATTTTCATCCCTAATATTTCTTCAATGAAGGAAGAGAATTCATTAAAATTATTCAATTTTACATACACACTTATTTAATTTCGATACAAAAAAATTTCTATTACTGTTAAATTACTTTTAGATCATTTATACTAATATTATAAAGATGTAAAGCTTGTGAGTTTGTGACGTTATAGGTGGTAATCTCTGAATCTACTGAACTGATTTAGGTGAAATTTGGTAAGAAGATAGTTTAAGACCCTGGGAAGGACATAGGAATTTTTATTCCGAAAATCATCCCTTAAGGATGTGAAAATGGGGATCAAAGTTAGCATGGAGAATCAAGCTAGTTAAGAATCCGAGCGAAGCGAAGGTGAGTCGCTAGTTAAATATAAAACAACAGAAAATTTAAATATAATTTATATTCACTAATTTAATTTAAAGGATACTTTTGAAAAGCTTATTTTTAAAGATAATTTTATGTTTATTTAAACGTTAACTTTAGTCTTTAAACTAGAAGGCCAATGTTATCCAATCAAGCACTAAGCAAAGTATATATGTAACATTACTTTTATCTTAAATCCTGACTTAAATATAATAATACTGCATAAAGCACTTTTTTTTAACTGCCTCGGTGGTGTAGTGGCTAACATGTACGGCTGCTCAGCCGGAGGTCCCGGGTCGGGCCAAGTTTAGTTATTGAGTCTTTCTGTATAGTAGTCTTTCTGTATAGTAGTAGTAGTCTCGGAGAACACGTAAAGCCGTCGGTCCTGCGCCTTAACTCTCACCGGTCGTGTCTCGTATCGTCCCACCGGAGTATGAGAGTGACAGGAATAGAGAGTGCACTTGTGTCTGCGCGTACACTTGAGCACTATAATATCTCCTGCGCAGTTGGCTAGTCTCAATGAGATTGGCCGCCGTGGCCGGAATCGGTCGGGAGAACATTATTAAAGTACTTTTTAACCCCCGACACAAAAACGACAGGGTGTTATAAGTTTGACGTGTCCGTGTGTGGCATCTTAACTCCGCGTCTTAACGTATGAACCGATTTTGATTTTGTTTTTTTTTTGTTTGAAAGGTGAATTAGTCAGGAATGTTCTTAGTATGTTTGATATAAATCGATCCAAGATGATCCGGTTTTTTTTTTCTTTTTTTAAATAATTACGTTATTTATACCAAAGGTGTGACATTCAATTAAACTAAATACTTTAAAAAACGGCATCATTTACTCATTCGACTAGATGGATCAACCGTGTAACCAAGAATGTGGGTCGCAATATTTAAAATTTCGTATACAACTCAGAAAAAATAACACGGAATGTAAAGTTGGCCTCGAACCGGTGACAAAACGAAAACATAACATGTTCTCTGATATTTTATGACTAACGATAAGGTTGTCTAGATTGTAGTTGTAATAAAAGATGCATGATATATATTAATTGTTTTGTTCAGAAAATAAAAAGCTCGTTCAAAATCAAGTTTATATCGCAAAAAATCCCCAAAAAATCGCCGTTTTAATAATATAAAGTCCCTACTAAAGTTAAAGTAAATTTACCTATATGTAAACGAGTTTATTTAAATTACAACTGTGTGAAAGATATTTTCGAATAATTTTTAGCCACTTCAATAATATGCATTTTTATATTTTATCAGATAATTCAATTATTAGGGGGAAAAATGTAGTACTTTTCCACAATTACATAACTGTTATTATACAAAAGCCCCTTACTACGGAGGCCACCTGTACAAAAATACCGTAAAACCGTAACCAAAGAGCAACATAAAAGTAAAGCACAGAAAATTATGAATTAAAAATATAAAACTTTTATACTTCTACTTCTACTGCTTCATGTTTTATGCTAGATAATATAATCTCACAAAGAATCCATGAACAACACAACCATGACAATTTTATTATAACTTTTAATAATAGGTTAATGAACAAGTGATAATTTGGAAATAATTTAGCGTACACGCGTATGTTAATTTGACAACCCTAAGCCTTGTGCGGTAGCGTTCATCAGTCATCGGCCTCGACTTCCGGCAGTGTTTCATAGTTCAATGCCTCACCAGATTTGCGTCGCGATGGGCGACCTTCATAATATTCGGCGCAAAGATACTACTATCCTCTTGCACTAAAAATTAAGCAACGTATTTAGCATATTTTATCTAAAAATCAAATTTGTTTTAGCAGACACTTTACTTTTGGCGTAATCAGCGTTTATAAATAAAATTTTAATATGACGGCCGTGACCAAGTGTTATTGTAGCATTAGCATAACCTACTCTAGAGATAACAGGTTCAATTCCAGAAAAAAATATGGAGTTGGATTAATCACTCAAAGCACAGTATCTCGGAACAGTTAGACCACAAAATATAAATGATAAGTCACTCTAATATCTCTACTTTTTCTGCATAGCAACATACGAAAGAAACCAATGCAGAAAAAAGCTCAAAATTATGTTTACATTGCCGGTATACGTCGGTATCGCATGTTGGTATTTCAGGATTCAGACTTTTATTTAGGTTTAATGCTTTATTTATCTGTAATACTAACATATCGAGTAACGTGTGACTCATCTGACGGATTGGGTATATGGAGTTCATTTTAAAGTCGTATCCAAGTAATAATTAGGCGACCAGTATCAGTTAAGCTTGATTAAGTTTTATAGGTAACAAAATTTTATTAAGTTGTAACAAAATTTTTATGGGAACCTGATTTTATAGTTCCCAATATTTTTTTCTAGGTCATTTTGTATGTGATATTTTAATGCGAAGGCGACCATGTTGAAAAATAAAATGAATAAATCGCTGTTGTCTCTACAATATTGTCCTTGCATTCTTTTACAAGGTCTTGATAAATTAAATAAACTCAAATGATTGATCACTAAGCGCTTGGTAGGATACAAGATAAGCTATTTAGAATATTTGACAGATAATAAATAAACAATTAATTTAAAATTAGGATAAGATGTTTATAATAGATTTCTAGTATAAATCTGCATCAAATGTCCATCTAATGTGATCTAAGATGACTCGCAGCTACACTTCAAGTAAGCTATTCATAAAACTCTAAATGAAGATGGATGATGCAGAGAAAAATTGACCTTTCTGATTTCTGGCCCATACCCAAGCAATTGGAGACAAAAGCAGCCTAACAATTCTCCCCCTCAATTTTACAGCTTCCGTTGGCAAACGCTGCCCAAATTTTCAATTTACGTACCCATCATCTTATTTACTCAGACGTGAATAAATTATATTTTTATTGCACTGGTGCACCAGTCGCTGTCGATCATTGGTTTGACATTCAAACAGTCTAGCTAACTCATTGCACTGGCCGCATGCTAAATGCAAGCAAATATAAACTTTATTTCAAACTATTAGGTTCTGAATTCTAAACTAAATCTGTCAGTCATTTTGCGACCAGTGCCGACGCTCTCGGTTTATTACATCGCATACTTTGCACCCAAGGGCAAGGGTACATATTTTTTTTTATTTGTTGGGCAATTCTTTGAAATAACTCTCATTGTGTATGTAGCCGATATGAATTCGCGGTCAAATCTATTGTTTCTCAGCCCGAGCTTTCAATAAATGTCTTCGCACCACACTCGGCACAATGAATGCATGTGCTCAGATTAAATGCAACCACAAATGAGAGTTTTGACATTGAATACCATTTTTATTTTTGTTTATACAATCGATTGGTACGAATCCTTCTTATAGCATCATTTATATATAGTTATAGTCGAGCTTAAGTCGTATTAATTATATTTTATAAGTCGATACCTCGCTAATTTTATTTTACCTTTTTGTTACAGGTCTAAATGCCTCACGCGGGGAGGTGAATCGAATTTACTGATTTTATCGAAAAATATTTATATATAATTAAAACTTGATAGAATACTAAGTAATAAAACTGCCATCAGCAATAATTTTTTGTTCGAATTTTAACTTAGATTCAGTTAGTTATTCTGTGAAAAGTGGAGAATTTAACGTCTACGGAAAGAAACACCGGGTTCACCCCGGCGACAGACAGGTAAGTGGGAAATATACATATTTAAATTATAATGTTATTATATGATATTATGATTATATGTACAAGTGAGGATAAATAAAAATTGCCTATGGTGATGAAAATGAGTACATGCTCAATGATGGATGAATGAAAATTTAATTCTTTCATGAGCTTTATAATTTTTAATCATTAATTATACTAGCTTTATCACCAAAATGTCTCTCCAACCAAGTCTCAGATACATCAAAATCTTTTATACATTAACAAGTATTTGCCCACAACTCCGCTCGTGTATTTTATGTACCTATAACTTCTTCGATCGTAAAGGTTAAATTAAATAGCTTTAACCTTCTAAAGAAAGGGACTGTAAAGGTAAAAAGATTTTTCTAATCTGATTGATAGTTCTACAGATAAGTCCAGTGGAAAAAAATCCGGACAGTTGCGAGTCGGACTCGCCAACCGAGGGTTCCGTACAAATTTGTAGGAAAACTGTCGAACTTTAATTTTCAACTTTTTATTTTTTGGATTTTTTCCTTTATTTCTGCTGTAAGACTTTGCTTTTTGCCAAATTTCGTGATTCTAGGTCAACGGGAACTACCACATAGGTTTTCGTACCCAAAACCTATAGCGTACTTCCGGTTCACCTAAAATTATCAATTTTGGTTAAAAGCAACGTCTTACAGCACAAGTAAAGAGAAAATTCTGAAAAATAAAAAAAGTTCAAAATTAAGGTAAATTTTGGTACTTACGAGTTTTCGCGTAAATCTAAATTTGCCCATATCCTTTTATGGTGTTGACTCAGGACCTTGATTTTTATACAACTAATAAGGACTATAGATCTCAGTATATGGTATAAATTTCAACTTGCTAGGTCCACTCGTTCCTGAGAAAATCAGTGGTGACACACGGACAGACAGACGGACAAGAGAGTGATCTTATAAGGGTTCCTTTTTTACCTTTTGATGTACAGAACCCTAAAACCAAAATAGCTAAAAAGTAAAAACTAAAAAGACTACACTATTTTTATATGAGAGACACAAACTAATCAACAAACTGTAGTACAAAATTTTACTTTTGACATTTTAGTTTTGGACCAACTTTTATCACATCCTACACTAGGGCTGTTTTAATTAAGGGAAATTCGCTGTACGAATCGGTCTCAGGTGTGATTAATTAGCTACTTGCTCACGTACTCGCAGCAGTTATCTGGCTCATTATCTAGTCGACGCAGGCACGATTTTGTAGATCTAGCCTACGGAAAAAAGATATTTGCATATTAGTGGGACTAGGCTTGTAGCGAGATAAGCGGGTTCTTGAATTAATTACATAAATAAAGATTCAGTGTTGTTTAAATTTTTTACTTACTACATTTCTCGAATAGAAAAAAAATGTCTTGTAATAGTTTTGTTTCTTAGTAATTATTTCACTCACATACATATGTATATTTAACTAAAAAGTTTAAAAATCAAGTAACTGGTTTATGTCTACTACAGCAAGTATAAAATAAAGTCTGTTACAGATGTAATATGCGTCAAAATATCATATTTTTTTTGAAATTTATTTTAGTAAAGATGACTGGACATTTTCCTTCTGCAAACATGTCATCGACAATACGATATGAAGACGTTTTTTTGATGTCATGCATACTGCATTGTAGGTACTCATTACTGAGGTTTTTTTGTATCATTTATTTTGATTGAGATGAATGGTACAATCTGACAGCTTGGACTCCGTGCATTGTAATTTATTTGCCATTATTTTGAATCTTTTTAAAGGATGTTTACAATGGCGTAGCGACATTGTTACTGCCAGAATGCAATAAGTAGAAAAAAAAATATTTTTTTTTTATATATTTTTTTTTATTTATATATCTACAAATTATCTTAATAATTTACATTTACTATGATTTTAGTTTTTATTGTAGATATAG